CAGAATGGGTGTGGCCACTGCAAGCCCCTGAACATAATCTCCTAAACAAAAGAGTTTGCTTTCTTGTTGCTCTTGGCTCTCTCTTGTGGCTCTTAGCTCATGAGCCTCTCTTGTTCCCTGCATTCACCAGTGTTTCCTCCATAGCCATGAGGCTCTGTGAACCCTATAAGTAATGGCTTGATGGACTGCAGCAGAAAGCACAAGCTAAACCCACCTGATGCTGGATTAGACTCTTCTAACATGGAATGGAAACTCTTGACACTGGCTCTGATTTTAGGCCAATGATGAGAGAGGCAACATGAGACTTACTCTTTGGTGGGACAAGTGGAAATAGGACCTTGGGAACTCAGAAAATAAAGCTTTCTATAATATTTCATCCTCCCATGCAAGTTTCAAAAAATTATTTTTCTTGGGATAGCACAAGAATTCTACTCCCATGAGCAGTAGGTGGGGATGAGGACCTCTCTCCACTGGTAACACCTCTATAGAAGGTTCGATTCAATTGGAGTTAAATGTTCATATAAATTTTAGGATAGTGCAATATATTCATTCCCCCAGTGAGATCCTTCATTCTACGTACCACACCCATTATCTGTAAATAAAGTGTGGCTTCCAATGCAATCAATGAGCAGTCAAGCACGCAAATGAGGCCATCGTTAAATTGTGTTTGCTCTGCTACAGAATGAAGTCTATCAAAGAGCTGATGGAAAACAGGGACCCTTTAGGAAAACTCTAAGAACATATTTATAAAAAAATACTAAATGCACATTAAGGGGAACTTAAGGATACTTTGTTTTGATTGCTGGAAGGGAAACCATGCTACACATGGGGACTCAGGTGGTTAATGTACTGCACTTTATTACTACACGCTACAGACCTCAGTCTCTTAGATCCTCAGAAACCACAAAGTCAATTGATCACATAGTGCCCTACAAAATACATTTTAAGAGTAAATAAGCGAACATCCCAGATATGCTTTCAGAGCTTGCCAACTCACTTGGCTTTCAAATTCTGGCTCTTTGGCTATTGTGCAAGAAATTTTACAATGTTTTTTGTTCTGCTAGAGGTTCTAAACCTATCTCAAATACAATAGAGAAAAATGGCAGTAAATTGAAGTAAAAAATAAACTGGTCCAACTGTAATAGCAAAACAAATTTGAGATGATGCAGTATATAAACTTAAAGCTCTGCAGTTAAAGCAGGCTGCTTGACATCTGAATCAATTTAATTTGAAGACAAATACCATGGTGTCTAATATATGAAATTGTTTATTTTCATAATATTTCAACTTGAAGGACATTACTTTGCATTAAAAATGCAGTCATGTTAACAAATGAGCTACTGGTTATCATCTGTCTATTAACCTGATTATGCAGAAGAGTCTGTAAGATCCCATCTCACTCTTGCATTCACTATTCATATACTATGTTTATAGAGTTGATTATCTGCTCATTGTAATGACTGGAGAAATACCGTGTGGTGCAACAAGGCAGTGTACAAAACCACAACCAATGCTTAATGTTTATTTTTAATATATTTGCATTTTAATATATTTTTAATATATTTGCATTGTAGCATGGTTTCCCTTCCAGCAATCAAAAAGAGAGGAAAAGAAAAAGAAAGACTTCAATGATGAGAGAGAATCATTGATTGGCCACCTCCTGCATGCCCACACTGAGGATCTACTCCACAATCTAGGAATGTGCCCTGATTGGGAATTGAACTGTGACCTCCTGGTTCATAGGTCTAAGATCAACCACTGAACCACACCACTGAGCAATATTTATTTTGATGATTTTTCTTTATTTGAGTAATTTGGAGACAGTAATTCCCTTAAGTCAGTGGTCAGCAAACTCATTAGTCAGCAGAGCCAAATATCAACAGTATAAAGATTGACATTTCTTTTGAGAGCCAAATTTTTTAAACTTAAACTTCTTCTAATACCACTTCTTCAAAATAGACTAACCCAGGACTTGGTATTTTGTGGAAGAGCCACACTCAAGGGGCCAAAGAGCCGCATGTGGCTCGAGAGGTGCAGTTTCCTGACCACTGCCTTAAGTGAAAACGTGGAACAACTGTTATATCTAGTATTTCCATCATTTATTTTTTTATAATTAGTGCCTTGTTCTCACTGTCAGCATAGAAATTAATGCCTCATGTTTAAAATACATCTGTATCAACCACAACATAATTTGACTTAGTATGCACTTTTTCATAGTTTTTATTACAGAATGGTATATTCAAGGTTATATTAACATTTAGTTTGATGAGAAATTACTTATTTTAATATTTTTTTAGGAACTCAAATATTAGTTTTATTTGTAGATATTTAGACCTTACAGCTTTTAGCAACAGCTCCAATAATAATAAATAATAGTTTTTGGTCATTTCTTAAAGTTGTTGAAAATAGTGTTTGACATCTAGTAGAAGTCATTGTCCTTTTTCCTAAACAAAATCAACACATATTTATTTAATTTTCTTATTCATTGAGAAATATAGTGAATTATATGAATTCAGGGAAGAATTGGAAATTTCTCCAAGCTATTCCTGATCACATGAAAATAAACTGTAATCTCAATATGTGCTGTGATTATTTTTAAAAATAATTTGTACACTGATTTCTAGTTTAAAAATACCTCAATGTGATTCAGTAGATACACAAGCATACACACACACACACACACACACACACAGAAAACAATATTTTATGAAACAATTTACTCATATGATACACTCTGATACTTTCCATTCTAATTCATTTAATTTTAGATATGTTTATTTAGATTCACTAAATTAATTTTATAACTTATTAATGAGTTGTGATCTGCAATAGAAAATGTTGCTTTAATCTATATCTTTAAAAATGTGAGGAAGTGACTTTTACCTTAGTTAAGTATAAAGTTGTTAAAAATATAATTCTCATACAAACTGATAGTGAATGTGTGTCAAAATTGTATTTAGCATATTAATGAGGATACTAGGAAGAACATTTTAGGGATTTATATAGTAATAGTAATTGCTTCCACAAATAAGTTTGCTAAGTTAGATATAAGACTGATTAACTTCCTACAGAACAATTTAGCCATAAAAATTTTGAGGGTTAATTTATCTACCAAATTATAAAGTTATAACAATTTTTTAATTTCTGAAGTTTAACTTAGAGAAAGTCACATAGTCCAATCAGGAGACAGATAACGTATCAGTTAGTTTAACAACAAAAAAATAATATAAAGAAGTGCTAACTAGCCTGGAAGTGTTGCTCAGTGGTTGAACATTAATCCATGAAACCAAAGGTCTCTGTTTCAATTCCTGGTCAAGGCACATACCTTGGTTGCCAACTCGATCCCCAGCAAGGAGGCAGCCTATCAATGTTTCTCTCCCATAGATGTTTCTGTCTCTCTATTCCTCTCCCTTCCTCTCTCTCTACAATCAATTAAAAAACATATTTAACAAAAAAAGTGCTAACTAAATACAGTTATTAGCTAAATTATGCAAAGGCTAAAAGATAGTGCCATGGTATAACAGAGACAGGACCTTCAGGAAACTACTACCATGCCTATCACCTGTAGAACTAAGGGACTAAATAAAGATATTAGATTCACTAAAATAAAATATTGAAGGAGCAGCTTTGGGAAAATGACCTTCACATTGCTGGTGCTGAAGTCTATGAGGAGGATGGGATGGGATGAAATGTTGGAAGTGCTGAAAATGTTGGAAAGACTACAAACTGGGATTGTCTGCTGTTATGGATAGACACTGCTCCAACCAGAATGAAGTGTGGTTGGGATAGTTCTCTAGAGCAGGAAGATCCAGAGAGGAAGTCCATTGTGGGAGCAACCCCCTCTACCTCCTTTTCCCTGGCTGCCTGTGTACAAGAGACCCCATTGGCAAGGTCTGGCAGGGAGCAGCAGGTCCAACAGAAATGGAATTTGCAAAGCCCCAGCCCAGGATCACAAAGCCAACTAGACAAGTGGGGTGGAGCCTAGACACAACAGCTCAAATGCCACAGACTCTAACCTTACAGAGCCATGAAGTGTTCACAGTTTTATAATCTGTGGACTGTTAATCAAAAATAGCAGATTGGACTTAGTGGGTTATGAGAAGCACTCTAGTATGATATCCAGCCATCATAATTTTCCTTTTCCTAAGCTTGAGACACTTCTATTTATCAGACATATGTGGTTTAATTAAAAGTTGAACATAGAGTCAAACTCACTATATTTTGAGAGTTTTCTATGAATGTAGACCATTATTTAGGACTATTATTTTAAAAGTAGACACATATTTGGCTTTTTAACTTGAAATCAATACTTTCAAGCTAAAAAGCCAAATACATGTCCAATTTTAAAATAAAATTGCTTGTTATGAACACAAAGATATGCCCACTTTTATGGCTCTAGAGTTCTTTTGTCCAGAATTTATTGAATTGTTAGAAATAATCTATGGCAAATTCTTAAAATCGTAAAAAAAAAAGTTACGAATTCCATAAATATTTAAATTGTATATAAAATGTTTTTAAAAGTAAAAAAAAAAAACTCTATCTGTTTACACTTCTATTTACACAAAATAGATGATAGAACAAACATTGAAAAATAGATGATAGAACAAACATTGAAAAATCTTTACATATGATTTTATGAGAAATCTTTATATATAATTTTAAGTACAAAGTATGTGAGCGTGTGTGTGTGTGTGTGTGTGTGTGTGTGTGTGTGTATAGAGAGAGAGAGAGAGACAGAGAGAGAGAGAAATACAGAGAGAAATATATGATCTTATCTATCATATATATATATATATATGATAGATAAGATCATATCAAGGGTATATACACAAAACTATGGAGTTAAATACTAACAATCACTGTTTTGTTCAATGTTCATTAATATTTGAATCAACAGTTGATGACTAAAAACAGCATGAAAGAGAACAAATGCAATCCTGTGTTATCTTCTTATCTCTCCAATGCATTTTCATCATCCATCTTCTCTCTCACACATCCAGGTCCCACACCACGTGAAGCCCTTGCCGTATTACAGCTACGACCAGCCGGTGATCGGATACTGCCAGGCTCACCAGCCGCTCCACGTCAACAAGGGCTACGAAGCCGTGTCCCTGGAGCAGGACGAAACCCCCGGCTTGGAGCTCGGCCGTGACCACAGCTTCATCGCTACCATCGCCAGGTCGGCAGCACCCACCATTTACCTGGAGAGATTAACAAACTGATGCAAAAGCAGCTCCTCACTGGGGGACTCCAAGAGCGGGAGGGAGGGTCTTCATCCTAAGGAATGGCTGTCCAACAGTGTGCAACCAAGGCGGCTCTTGTTCCTGCGAGAACATTTATGACAGATTGGAAGGGGAAAACCAAAACTGCCACAAGAGAGCACCTGCACCATAACCAGGAGAGCCACAGAACTTTCTTTGCTTTAAAACGTACCACAAACCAACCAACTTAAACGTGCTCCTGGATGTAAATAGTAAATGTGTTGAGTTCTTATACAAATAGATTCCACCCTAGCTACACATAGGTTTGTTTGTATATTTGCTTTTTCTACTCTGCATGGTTCCTGGCCTGGAGAACCACAGGGCGGGGAGAACCTGGGGAGGGTGGGGAGTTGGGGAAACAATACCAGTTTTCCTTGTTAGGTATGTGTAACTCTTGGACTTTTTGTTTTGATTGCTTTTGTTTCATTTTTTTTCCCTTTAAAAATTATGTTTGTTCTTGTCTGGTTTGTTTGATTTTTATTGTTTCCCTAGCCAAGTGATTCTGTTTCCACTTCTGAACATGGGCATCAGGCTTATGTTGTACCAAAAGAAAATCTGCTTTACCACAGACCACAGGTTAGCAAAGCTGGCCACCGAATCTGAGGGAGCTATTGCAATGAGGATCCAACAGAACGTGGGCAAAGAGCACTTCCTGACACCTTGACTTCCGGGGCACACGGTGTGAGGATCTCTGCTTGTTTCCTGTGGGCCGCCCTCACGGTGTGTTTTCACTGGAGGAAGTCTGAAGGAAGGATCCCTGAAGGCCTCCAAGAGAAATTACCAGCAGAAACATCCTCATGTGGACCAGGGGTCTATGAACTACCATGGTCATGTGGTCAATGAATGCAACTGCCAAGCCAACAAATTTCTAAATACAAGATAATGTGTAACATTGATTTTTTTAAATTATCAATTACTTTTTTGTGTAGTTTTATCAATAAAAGAAAAAAGAAAAGGTCTAAAAAATAAATATATTGTTCTGTGGTTGGTATGCCACAGCTCATCTAAGGTTGAGTATTTTATCTCTATAATGTGAATTCCTTCTAGCCTGGATGAGGGCGATTCAATAAGAATGCATTGGTGTCTGTCACGTGTCTTCTGTGTTCCACCATCAGGTAGAGATGCTCTATATAGTATAGACAATAAGTATAAGGTGTGGCTAATGCACTAACTTGTTTCACAATTATTTCTTTCCAGATGTATGATGCAATGCAAAATTATATAACAAATATGAGGTGACAGTAGGTATTCATGAAAGGGTTAGAGGTTGTATGATATTCTAGGAAAGAAAGAACCGTGCGGAAATCTGTTACTATCGATATAAGAGAGAAACATAGTTATCACTCATATTTTAACTAGAGAGATAACTATATACATATAAGTTGAACCACTTTTACTTGAATTCCTTAGGGTTGATTCACTATGGACTCATCCTAATCTAGGCACAGGTCTAATTTGTGTTCTTCTATTTTTAAGACAAAATGAAATTACAAACTTATGTCATTCTTTGTTAGGTCAGGTCTTGCATTCTGAAAGGTGCCAAGACGGAGTCATTTGAGCAGGTTATTTAAAGAGCTAAGTTGATACCTGCCCTCCATTTAATTCCAAATTCTCCTAAAATAATAACGAAAGAGCCTTGTGAATACTTTTGTGTCAAAGTAAACTGGCATAGAGTAATAAGCATGTTTATTTTTTTTCAAAGTCTTTCTGTTTTACTACTATTTTATATTATACTTGAATTTAAACTCTATCTCAGTTGATAAAATATCATTCCATATTAAAGAAAATTCTATAAAAGGAAGTTTTTCACATTGGAACACAGGGGCTATTGCTGTCAAACTCTGGTTAACTTTCCTATTAACATTTACAATCAGGATTTTATTATATCTGGGTTTATGTCCTAACCATTTATGTAGAATGAATTATGCATTCACATATTCAAATAAATTTTGGCATTATGATTTTTCTATTACAAATTATTTAATAGCATTGAGGCAGAACATTTTTTAGTGTCTGCCCAAAGGACAAGGACTCCCTTCCCATCTTCTTCATCTATCCAGCATCACCCATACCACCCACCCCTGCCATAGTCAGTGTTCTAGAAGGCATACTTGAAAATGTTTGATTAAAGTTGGCTTAAGTCAACTATTGATTCTGTTTATTTCTGTTCCTTATAAGAAAAAGAGTCCAAAATAGATAACACCCTTCATGTTATTTAAAACTGCGTACTTGGCCAAGAGTTGTCTCAAGTCTAACATGAAATAGTGAACTTTGCAAAACAGGTGGCATTATGAAAACGTTCTGCCCCGTGAAAATGAAAATTTTCAAAATAACTTTTTAAAGTATATCATTTACATATGCCAGAGCTAGTTTGCACTGAGTTTTAGAAATCTATTGATGATCCAACAACAACCAAGACAAATAAAACTCCAAAGAACAATTTTGCTTGAGGAAGCTTGGGAAAGCCCTTCGTGGGAAAATTCAAGCTTGATATTGTGTGAAATGGTATGCTTCATTTCAAGGCTATTCTAATTAGCCATTTGACTTTAAACTATAATTTTTATTTAAACTCTGAAAGCTATGCACATTTGGAAGTATCATGGAGTATTTATAGAGCTAAGTCATCAAAACTGTGTCTACAAGGAATTGTGAATTTGAAGCATACAGATTGGAACAGTCAATTATTCAAACATTTTGATTAATTTATCTCATAAATATCCTTAGTAATGCTGAGTTTGCTTTCACTTATTTTATTAGGCAATAAGGAAATATTTAAAATCAAATCAAAAGCTTGATTAATATATGTATAAGTGTAACTGTGGTTTAAATGTTTATTCTATCAGAGCTCTACTTATAATATTTCATGTATGACCTTTTAAAACTAAGGAAAAAATAATAAGAAACGTCAATTACAGAATGCCAAAAACCCAAGTACTTTTTAAAATCAAAAGTAGACTATGTTATAACATTTCAAATAATTTCACTCATCATAAAGACATGTGAGGGGAAGGAGGGCTCTAAGAGGAGGTCCTGACATATATTATTGGCTTCCATGCCACACTTATTTCAACAGCTTGAATGCAAATATGGTGTCTGTACATAACAGTGATTCATGTCATGAGAAATGGAAGAAGATGCAACAGTCCAATCTGGAAATTTTTGTATTTTATGAGCAATTCATAAGTGTGAATTGAATTTGGGAATTTTGGTCGTCAGCTTATTATTAATAATATAGCAAGATGACCAAAGAAAAACAAATCATAGAAATGTCCAAAATAAAAAAAAAGTTATTATTTGAATCTAGCTTTACTGGTCAAACTGCACTGGGACTTCAGTATCAGGGTCATACCTCCAAGGGGAGATCTATAAGAAAAGCAACCAGAATATTGGAAGTTATGCAATCCGTAGCATATTTCCCTGCTTTACAGATCCATGATTGCCACACAGTGTTGGTAATTGTTAGTTTGTTTTATAATTTATCAATTATAGTTTGCATTCAACATTATTTTGTGTTAGTTTTACGTGTACAGAATAATAGTTAGACAGCCGAAACCGGTTTGGCTCAGTGGTAGAGCATCAGTCTGCAGACTGAAAGGTCCCAGGTTCGATTCCGGTCAAGGGCATGTACATTGGTTGAGGGCACATCCCCAGCAGGGGGTTTGCAGGAGGCAGCTGATCGATGTTTCTCTCTCATAGATGTTTTTAACTCTCTATTCCTCTCTCTTTCCTTTTATTGAAAAATCAATAAAATATATTTTTAAAATAAAAAAATTAAATTAAATTTTAAAAAAAGAATAATAGTTAGACAAACATCTACTTTACAAAGTGTTTCCCTCAATATTACAGACACCCACCTGGCACTCTAGTAGCTATTATAATATTGTTGACTATGTTCCCTGTGCTGTATTTTATATCTCCACTAGTAGCCCTGTCCACAAATCTGTGCACCAGTAGCTTTTGTGGGGCCTGGCCACTCCATGCCTGCTGCCCAGAGTCTCTCTGCACCTCAGAGGCCCATCCACACCCTGCTGGGCACTGAACACTTGCCTTGTCACTGTGGTGACAAAGCAAGCATTCCTCCAGGCCATTCACACTGCCTGCTCTCAGCAGCCAGACCCCTGGGATTGGGTAACTCCAGCAGGACTGAGAGGACTGGGTTCCACCATCTCGTGGTTATGAGTGCAGCCATCTTTGTGACAGAGTGATGGTTAATTTGCATATTATCCTTTTATTAGAAAGGATGACCATTTTGTATCTTCCAATTAATACTTCTAATCCCTTCACCTTTTTGATAATTGATTATTTAATTGAGGAATGCATAGCCCTCTATGTCCTTATTAAGCTCCTCATTTCTGTGGACTTTATAATTTCTAAAGCCTTATGGCCACCCATGAGGGCATACGTGTTGTACTCCAGGTTATAAAGCCTTTAATTGACTTCCATTCAGAAAATATAACTAGTCTAAGTTCAGAAATTCAGGTTATCTGAGCTTTAATTTCTCTCACCTCACATGCATGCCTACAGTGACAGGGCGCAGCATTGTTCTTGTAATAAAATTCGGTAACTCCTTGCTGTTTTGTTCCCTGGAGAGCTGAGCTCCTCCTGCTTTGATTCATATTCAGGATGCTGGTTCTCTTCCAAGGCTGAACACCATCTTTCTCTTGCCCATATTACCAGGCACCTGATTTCTGCCCATAAATCCCAGTCATTAGTTACCAAACCTGCTCTGCATAGGTATAAATAATACTCTGCTCCTCAAACACCCAGTTTGCCCTGCTAGGCCAGTCTTGATTCTACTTGCAGTAACTTTCTGGCAAGTGCTCTATTCTCTTGATAGTTTGCTCTGCTGCTTAGCAACTTGACATCCTGTCCTCTGTTGCTGAGCTTGCACTATTCTAGGAGTACAATCCAGCTTCAAAAACGCCTGTTCTGCACATTTGAGAACTGAGTTTCCATAATGG